AATGATCTGCCTAAAAAACTCTTACTTTGACATATTTTAATGGCAAATTAGTAATACAGTAATACTCATCTTATTTTATATTTTTAATTAACAAATAAACTACCTAAAAAACCCTTACTTTGACTTAATTTTAATGGCAAATTAGTAATACACTAATAATCTTCAAATCTTATATTTTTTAGTTAATCACTAATATTCAATTAAATAAATAACAATGTAACATTGAAAACTAGCGTAACATTGAAAACTATTACGATCCATGCCCAAAGTATGACTCAAATAATTCTAAATTTTACTAAAAATGATGGAGATTGAGGTGGTCTTTGAAGAAATTATTGTGATTCTCTTAGCTAAGTAGCTGTTGGAAAAAAAAAAAATAACTCTTCCACAGAAGTCCACCAAAACAAATTGGTTCTTGTAAACAATATCTACAAAATAATCTTATGTAATATTTAGTCCAAATATTTTATTATATTCTATGTCTAAATGTTGTGCTAAATAAAATGGTAACTCAGAATACTACTATAAAAGGATGAGTGTTTTTGTTAAAGAAAGAACTAACTAATATACCCTAACTTTGGTATATTTTTAATGGCAAATTAGTAATAACATAATATATAACCCATCTTATATTTTTTTTATTAATAACTAATATTTACCTAAAAACCCCTTAAGTTGACATATTTTTAATCTCAAATTAGTAATACACTAATACTCATTTGATATTTTATTCATCTAATATAATTAAATGAACAAAATATTCCACATCTCTTAAAAATCAACCACAATATTCACACTATTATTCTTCAAGAATTTGGTTTCTTTCACATATCTCCCAAACCGTTTTCTTCCATATGTCTAAAAAATCAACTCAACATTAACCCAAACAACAAAGTTTTGAAATGATATTGAATTTTTGTTTTGAATAATGTCCTTATTTTTAATATAATTTTGATGATAAAATTGTAATCATATTTAATGATTTTAATATATAAAATTTATTTAAACAAAAAATTATGCAACAAAAACAACAGAATAAATACTTATAAAAGATCTAAATATTCTCAATTATTTGTTTACCTATCTGTTAACAAACGATAAATCTTGGTAAAACATGATAACTTAGTTGAGGGGTAAATTTTATATAATAAATAATTTCCTAGATACATACATAACTTTAATTATGAGAAGATACCTCAAATATTACGGAAATCATGCACACGTGGAATATATACATAATCTAACAAGCTAGAAAAATGGAAGAATGCATTTAACTAGATCATTGTTTAAGAAAAATAAACTCTTGTATTTAGAACTAGAATTAGATTGCACCTTAGTTTTATTGGATTGAATTTTGATCCCACAAAAATCGTCATTGTTTAGTGGTTTGTATTTTCAAATTTTGGTCGCAAAGCTAATAGAGTTAATGAATATTCATGTGACCATTAGGTGATTAATATCAAGTTGCGTATTTTTTAATTATAAGACTTAAAATATTTAAATTTATCATTCAATTATTAATAAAAATGTTCATGACATTTTAATTATTATTATTATTATTATTATTATTATTTTATTTGAGCAATTAATTTTCAAGTTGAGCGCTCTATAAACGATTATAATTCAAAATTTTATGAATAAAATATTTTATTTATTGATATTATTCAACATTCTTAAATACTTTTATGATTTTCTCAATAAAATTTAAGAGTTTAACCGTAAGTATCCTATCAAATAAGATTACTGTTTCAATATTATTTATTTAATTTTACAAGTTTATTAATAACTATAAGTAAAATATTTAAAATCGATGTTATTTGTCCCCATAACGACCACAAACTATATAAATATTTTTTTTCAAAATAACATATAAAAACAGAATAAATTATGTAATAATATGAGAGATAAGTTTTTGAATAATTATTTTGCAACCTAAACTTTTATCTACTCAATTTCTTTACGTAAAATAAGATTAGAATAATTTCATGAAATTATATAATACTAAAACCCGGTCCAATTTTTTCATGTCGAGTGGGATATTAGTTGAGTAGCATGATTTTATTTTGATCATACAATTTTCTACAAATTAATTAAGATATCTAAACAATCGTTATATGCCTATTCGCAGTAAATTAATTATTTTACCAATAATTATATCATATATCACCATTACTCATATATTAGTAATAACATAAGTAATAAAATTGAAATCCATAATGTTGTCCTCATAACACCCATAAAGTAAAGAAACGGTTTTTTTCTTTCAAAATAACCTATAAAAAGTAATAATTTTTGTAATAGTATGAGAGATTAATTGTTGAATGATTGTTTTGCAATCGAAACTTCTAATCAACCCAATTTATTTGCTTAAAATAAGGTCAGAATAATTTTATGAAAATGTATAATACTAAAACCCAGCCAATTTATTTTCATGTATTAATGAGAAAATTGTACTTATATATAATAAAATAGAACGGTGTACAATTAATTGATATATAATAAGACATATGACCCAAAAGGTTATATACTTAATTTTATGTATTCTTTAACAAATATAAAAGTTATATATACATATATATATATATATATATATATATATATATAAAGGATCATATGAGAATGACTCTTAATGCAAGAAAATGAGAATGAGTCTGGATCATTGGATCCAACATATCAATGGTCATGATCAAGTCAAACTTTAATAAATCATGGTCAATCATTAATGGCAATATGGTAAATAAATAGATATATAAATGTCAAATATATAGATTTAGCACTAATTAAGGGTAATTGAGACTTTTGGATCAAACACCTAACATGTGGGACCCGCCACATCACACATTAAACCTACACACCTCCACCTACCCGTCACTCATCTTCTTCCCCCTTTCCCCCCACCCCACGCACACACACTTCTCAACACACACACTCAGACTGACCACCGGCGACCCGTCTCCTCAGCGGCGGAGTTCCGCCGCGCGCATATGCCGTCCGCCGTCGCGCCTCCGCAACCCATCGCCAGAGACGGATGCTACCGAGCAGGCTTCGGCAGAAAACCAGCCCGTCGTCTGTGTAGATCTGAGCCTCCGCAGCCCATCAACCGACCAATTGTGGTCGTCGTCGCGGCGAGAAAGGCTGTTGTTGTCGTCTGTCTGTTGTCCTAATCGGCCAGCGATGTAGATTTGGAAGTGCTGACAGCGATGGCTGCCGCGGGAGAAAGGGCGGAGGAGAATGGCCGATTTTTTTTTTCTTTCGTTTGGTCGGAGGACGGCGGCGGTGTTTGGTGACGAAGACGGTGCCGGCGGCTTTTGGTGACGAAGACGGCGGCGACGGCGTTTGGTGNGATTATGCACATTAATGACACATTAGATGCACAATATGGTATGATTGTGTGCACTTTTAAAAAAATATTGTCATGCACTTAAAAAAATAATATCATATGTATACGTAATTATTAAAATTTTATAAATACGTCATTTTTTTACGATAAGTGAATTGCTCAAAATTGTGTATATATGTGCGTTTTAAAAGTAAAAACTAATAATCAAAGATGTAAAAGTTCGGTCGATTTCGATCTCTAATGTGCAATTTGATATTCGTGATAAAGTGCAATGTATTGTTTTATAAAGTGCAACGTATTGTTTTGTAAAGTGCAATGCATTATTTTATAAAGTGCAACGTCAAATAAATCTGAAAATGAATATATTGATTTATTCGATTCGCTTAAGCGAATTATCCTACATAATCAAAACAATTTGTTTTTATATTAAAATTATATTTAATACGTTAATAATTTTATTTATAATTTTTATATTATTTTTGGTTGACAAAAAATTGTGTTCGGTTGGTGCAATGTATTGTTTTGTAAAGTGCAACGTGTTGTTTTACAAAGTGCAACGTGTTGACGTATAAAGTGAAATAATGTTTTTTTGGTACGTTAACGTGCTTGTGTTTTGTGTGAATAAATGATGTGATTGTTGTTATACTATTATGTTTATCCATTTTTTAAATTTATGTTGCGTGACGTTTTCGTGGGAGAGCTGATAACGTCAATTGTGGAGTGTGTTGATAAAGTGCAACGTGCTGTTTTATAAAGTGCAACGTGTTGTTGTATAAAGTGCATCGTGCTGATATATAAAGTGCGCTACTTTATACAATCAAATATAAATTATGTGTTTTTGAAAAATAAACTTAGTTGATATAATTGCACATCAAATTGACCCAAATAAACAAAAAAAATTTATTAGTTATTATTACAAAAGTATATTTATTATTTTAAGATTTTTTATATATTAAATTTTACATACTGAAATTTTATCAAAATATTTATATTGTAAAATTATATTTAATATTTATGATTTTGTAATTTTATATTTTATATTTTATATTATTATTTGTTGAAAGAAAAAAATAATGTGCACTAATAATCATTCGATCAATCAACCGAATTATTATAAACATTCAAATGAATTATTATGTATATAATGTGCATTTTATTTATAGTTAGTATACATTTATTAGACTTTCAATAAATTACAGATTTGACACTTGAACCAAATTGAAATAAATCAAATTTCATAAAATTGCAATTAAGTCCTTGCAATTTATCTAATTTTCATAAAATAAACCCCACAACCCCCACCCCAAATCCATTCCTGCACATCCGGCCACACCCGCAGACGGCGGCGGCGCTGCCATATTCCCGGCGCCTTCTTATCCATCGACGTCGCGCACTCCCAAACGCCGTTGGCTTTCGGATGCTCGGATAACGAGGTGGCGGCCGCGGCCGTGTGGGTGCAATCGGCTGGTGGAAATGAATGGCGGCGGGCAGAAAGGGGTGTGAGGTGCAGCGGTGCGTCGGCATCGTCGGCGGCGGAAGGACTGGTGGGAGTGGACGGCGGCGGGTTTGAATTGTGTAGACGCATAGCGGCAGTGGCGGAGGGACACGACGGCCGTTTGGTGCGAGCTCAGGGTCGCCGCCTCCGGCAGGCGGTGCGACGATGAGGGAGGTGATGAGAGTTGGCGTCGAGATGGCCTTAGGCGGTTCTGTGTGCGGCGCAGTGGGAGGCCGACGGGTGGAAGAGCGGTGGAGGCGGCGGCGGACGAGCAGTGGCGGACTGACGGACGGCAGCACCTGAATTTTCACCGTGACGACGCCTGACCGGAGTTGGGAGTATGGGTGGTAGCGGCGGCAGGCGGCGGTGTTGGGGCTGTGAATGTGTGTGTGTAGATTGTGTGTGTGTGTTTGTGCGTGTGTGAGAGAGAGATAGTGTAGGGTGAGGTGGGGTGGAGTAGGGTGGGGTTAGTGGCAGGTGCATTAATGTGGTGGGTTGGTAATGTTAGTCACGTGAATTATTGTGAAAGGGGGCCCACCTGTTTGGGTGTGGTGTGAAAAATTACTCCAATACCCTTAATGAAGGTATATTTTTGACTTTATTTTAGACATTAGATCATCCGATCCAATGGCTACAATTTATTCTCATTTCTCGCATTAAGCCCCATTCTCATGTGAGCGCGACCCTATATATATATATGTATACACATATATAAACATATAAAATAACAATATAAAGAAAAAAATATTAAGTTTGACAAATAATATTAAAAATCCGTTTAAGTTGTAACACTTATTAATAAATATTAAAAAGTAACAATAAAATGTTATAGTTAATAAAAATAAAGATAAAACTTTTAAAACTTGTACTTATCGATGTAAATGAGTTGAGTCACTATTAGAGGAATTAAGAGAGCTAATATTGGCTTTTTGGTGGATTCAATTTCTTAACGCAATTCAGGTGTTATTAAACGCTTGTTAATTTTTTGTTATTATTAATTCTAAGTGTAAGTTTAAAGTGATAGACAATAGTTATTTGTACTTTTATCCATCATTATCTTCAGATTAATTAAAAATATATAGTGAATCATGATATGCCTATATACGTTGAAAATTAATTATTTTTACCAAGAATTTATATCGATATAGTACCATCTCACCTATCTATTAATATGTATTATTACAATAAATCAACTTTATTAAAAAAATGTACAAAATATTTTTTTTTTAATATTTGATAATAATATTAATTAGAAAATTGTAATTATACATAATATAATATAAAGATGTACAACTATAATAGATATAATAAGACATATGACCAAAAAAAGTTATATACTTAGTTTTATTGCATTTTTTTTAGCAAATTTAAAAGTTATATGTATATATATGAAAGAACAATATAAAGTAAAAAAATATTAAATCTGACACATAATATTAAAAATATAATTAAGTTGTAATACTTACTAATACATATGAAAGAAAGTAATAACTAAAAATGTTTAATTAATAAATATAAATTTAAAACTTTTAAAACTTGTACATATCGATGTAAACGAGCACGATTGTTACTTTTTTTGTGCTTAGTAATTATAGGTGTATGTTTTAGGTTATTGACAAAAGTTATTTGTACTTTAATCTATGTAGGTTAAAACTTTTAATTTTTTTACAAATAAATTTATTATTGTAAGTTTAAATAATTTTTTATTTGTTATTAGCTTTTTTAATATAATATATAAATATTATATTTCATATAAAAATAATATTTATTTTCATTAATATGTAGGGAAAGTAATTCAATTGAGAAATTAATAGGTAATCTCAACATAAAATAACGAGTGACTTGTAAGAAATTTATATGGACTAAAAAGTAGATGTTTTAATATATTTTAAAAGAAAAATTATAAACACAATTAATAAATAAAAAAATTACTACATAAACATTTTAATGATTATGAAAGAATATAAAAATTCCATATTATAATGAAAAATCCAACAATAAGGTATTCTACAGAAAATACCAACAGATATTTCATTGGTATAGCTTCTATTGAAAAGATTCAGTAGCTATTCCAATGGTGAGTAAATTAAATTACATTGAAATTTTTGTGGATTTAATATCTCAATTACTAATATTTTTTTTTTGTGTGAATTTACGTTGGATTTTTATGTCGGTCATATTTCAACCATTAAAAAAATTGTCACTGAAATTGGGAAAAACAATGAAAGTTCCATTGAAAAACTAGCTGCAGTGGCGAATCCAAAATAATTTCATGTCAAGAGTACTATCTAATTTAATACAAAAGTATTGCATCAAAACAACATAATGCCATTACAATTTATAAAGTATACTTTTCATAATTTGTCAACTTTCTCATATGTGTTACTTTTTTTTAACACATCAATACAATCACAATAAGTTCAATAATATTAAAAAAAAAAGCATATTTTTTTCTCAATTCGACATAAGAAAATCATAAAACAATAAGACATTTTTCAAAATCTTTTTATGAACAAAAATTTTATGTTGTAGTATAGTTGACTCGACAATATAATAGATGATTGTATAAATTACAAATATATAACTACAATTCTACATACACTTAAAAAAGACTTAAAATATATTTCTAAAATTAGATAAAAATTATGTCGCAAAAGAGAGATAATAAGATATCATCACGAATAAAAAGAAAAGAGAGCATAAAATTGTAAACTTTGATATCATATTTTCTTTAGTTGGGATACAACATTGATATTATAATTTTAATAACTTTATGAGTTGAATTAAATTATAATTGGTTGAGTTGTAAATTAATCATTATTTGTCTTTATTCTTTTAATTTTATTTTCTAAATAGAGGACATGATTAAAATTACAAAAAATGTTCCCATAATGCTTGTTAGATATCTTATGCTATTTGTTTTGGGATGATGCCAGTTTCGAGACTATTGGACAAACATGGATCTACACACGATTGCAGCAAAATATTTTTGTTATAATTTTCATTGAAAAATTCAAACGAAAATTGTAACGTTGAAATATTCGTTAGAATTGTTGTTGAAATTTCTCTGTAATATGTTCATTGAAATTTCATCATTTTCTTGTAGTAAAAGTATGACTCCAAATCAAACTAAAAAATTTGCACTATATATAATATTGTGTGCAGTTAATTGTTTTGAAAATTGTTGATAATGATACAAAATATAACATATTTAATGTAATTATCATTTAATTTATGATAATTAGTAATTAAAAAAATGCATATAAGTTGAAAAGTCCTTAAATATTTTATTAGTATTATAATAATTAAAGAAGAGGCCAGAATGATGTTCTACTGAAAAGGTAATATTAATACTAAACAAGATGTAAAAATGATGTTCTACGTAATAAAAAGGTAAAACTACACAACGAGAAAGCTTATAACTGACATTCCACTCAAAAATAAAAAAAATGATAAAATTAATAAATGTCATATATCAATTGGAGCTAGCGAATGATAAATGTAAAATATACTTGAGATGCACATTTATAATAAATATATTTATTTTTTTTTGTCTTACAAATTAAATTTTTAGTTAAAAAATTGGTTAATTTTTACCATTAAATTTCTTATTTTTGAAATACTTAATTTTTTTTTGGTTACCCTATTATATGTAATATATCATATCATTTCTTTCCCATTATATTTGATTTTACCAATGTTTTGTAAATAATATAATTATTTATATCGATGTATATATATATATATATCAATACCAATTTAAAATAATAAATAGACCTAAAAGAATCTTATAAAATAATTATAAATCAATGTTAAATTAATTTTATTAATTATAAAATAATATAAGATAAACTTGTGGTATATTTTTCTGACATTGATTTGAATTATTCATACTAAGAAAAAAGTCAACTAGATGTAATTGTACAACTACTACCAATATTAAATATGTGAATTAAAAGAAAAAAATAAATCGGTTGTATGTTAAACTATTATTCAATTTTTGCTTGAAAGGGAACACCATAATGGTTGTAAAATGTATTTTTTGTAAATATAAACATGAATTAGTTACTTAATATTTTATCAGAACATGGAAATAAATTCAAAACTTTTTAATATTATAAACAATATAAAACTACATTTTTATCAAGTATATTATTATTATCAAACACGTAAAAAGAACACATTCCATATAAATGTTCTCTAATTCTTTCAGAAATAAAATATTATTTGTGAATAATTAAAAAAAAACAACTAAACCAATAGTAATGCAATGAGGAAAAGAAAATTTCTGAATTTTTTTAGAAAAGTATGAATACTAATATCAAGAAACAAAAATCTTTTAAAATTACCACTTTTTTGGTTGCTAGCATTTAAGTATATGTTCTCTATAAGAAATTAGTTCTCATAAATAATGATTCGATATTATCATAAGATAGACCACAAACTTTAATAATAACTTCATAATAATAAAGTTAACAGATGACTAAGAGGAACATAATACAGTATAATTCAAATTCTTCTCATCTGAAATATTTTGACAAATACTTCTCAATATTGTCTCATTGTTTTGTTTTGTTTTGTTATTATTGAAGAATCAATAAAGGATCTTTATCTTGAATTTTTTAAGCATTAGTTATGATACAAAAGATTGGACAATAAATGCAATAAATGTTATTAGACTCATAAATATTGCAAATCCGAAGGAATATGAAAGGTATCTATCTTCCAAATTAGTAATACTGAAAATGGAATGTTTGATACTGATTAAAATATTTTTGAATGTTGAATAAGTTGTCACTTTTTGGTAAAAATATTTACAATCATAACTGTGTATTGTGCTCGATCATACGCGCAATTGTTTTAGAGTACATATTTTCATGTAATGTGTGATGATTTCAAAAAAATAATTTAGCATATTCAGAGAAGTACATGATTTGGGAAAATCAAATTTTAATTAGAGATGAAATTCGTTCCCACCTCATGGGTAAGTACCAATTTGTCTATGTGGAGAGAGAGAGAGAGAGAGAGAGAGAGAGATATGTAGTAGTTTATACAGTGATTAAAAGAAATATCAAGAATTTTAATGACACAAATATCAAGAAATTTAATGCTACAATTGTTTAGTAGAAATACCTTATAATGATCATACAATCATAAAGTTTGACTATATGTTTGACTAAAGTATTTCTAAGTGTTGAATAAAACAGACGTTTTGTCAAATTAATTAAGAAGAATTTTGCAATACTATTGATGTATTAGAATTTAACGAGTATGAATGTTTCTTATGCGAACATCAAAACCAAAATAAAAGAAAATGACTCTTGAATCTAACATAAATAAATAAAAGAACTCATGCATCTATAATATACATTATGTCTTTATTTAGTCATTTATTGTTTTTTCATTAGGAACTCATTTTTCATATATTTTTGTTGGAGTTGTAATATGATATATAATTTTTTTTTGTATATTACGACAACATTTTTTATTTAAAATAAAATGCATGAAAAGTTTATTTATTCTACATTTTATTTAGTTCCTGCAGTCATATGTGTAATAAATTAATTAATTTATCGTACTAAATTTAATCGGTAAAAAACATTCGTCGCCACGTGCATCGCACGTGCACTTTACTAGTTGAACAAAATATTGCAATATAAACAGCTGCTGAATTGGGTTCAATAACATCTTCAAAAAATGTGGGGAGTTAGGCTTAATTATTTATTAAAAACTTGTAAGGATGACTTGGGCCGATTTTCCCAGTAAGGCTATTTGTTTATTGAGCCGATTTGGTAAAGCCCAAAAAAAAATAAATTTTCAAATTAAACTCAATACATATTTTTTTCAACCCAAAAAAGAATAAATAAAAAAATCATGCAACCGGTAAGACCGATTACCAAAAAAAGCGTTACAAAATCCTCGACTTAAATCATCCGAACACTCTATAATTCGTGCTCATTTCTCTCTTGTTATAGGCAGATCACACGTTTTTTCTCTCTGTAAAAAATATCCAATATCTCATTTTTTCTTATCAATTTTTGTCAATAATCTTGCCTTTTTCTTTGTTTTTCCGGCGCGATATTCCAATCAAATTCTTAATTTTTTTTTTCAAAAATTAGAAAATTTCAAACAAAACATCAAAATTATTTCGATCTTACAATTTCATTTTACCAAATCATAGTAAAACTTGCAAATCAAACGATTACATAACATAAGTCTCAATTGTAATTTGCAGCTCCTTTTTGGCGTAAATAAATCTCCCCTGTTATGATATGCGTGATATCCCCTCTGTTTATAAATAAGTCTCAATTGCTGCCAAGTATCTCTACCAATTAATCGTAAGCATGAATGGACCTTCAAGTTTTTGAACTTTTTTTCTTTATTTCACAAGTTGCAGGCTTCCAATCGGCGGAATTTTGCTCTTACCACAAGATACATAAGATATTGCAATTTTACGATGTAGACAAACTTATTAGCAATAATACTTAATTGGGGTCAGTATCATTATTTTAGGCTGAATGCCGCTAATAAAGGGAGTCAGTTACCTAAAATCACGCCCTCTCTCTCAAGCAACGAATCTCTCACACAAGTCATTTGAGAAAAATAGGTAAGTGGATATAAAACATATTTTGAATTTGAAACGTACTATCTCTCCTAAAATATAGCTCATACACGATAACAACATAACTCATACACGATAACAACATAACTCTTCGAGCATGCTGTAAGCACCAACCTAACATATACCTGATATACACGATCAGAATCGCGACATCAAATCAGGTATAATTCTCTTTACTTTTTTTTTTAAACATGTATATTGTTTGTAGTTAATACGTATATTGTATGTATATTTTTGCGTTTTTTTGGGTGAAACGCACATGCTGTATATTCTCTTCGCTTCGAACATGCTGTATATTCTCTTCGAACAAAAGACACTGTATATTCTTTGTATATTTTTGCGACTTAATTCTGAATATGTTTTTTATTTTTATTCCTGCTGTATGTAAATGACAGATGGATACATCGATTAAGATCTTCTTCAATTACGGTGGTGAATGGGTTAATAATGCATATGTGAACTTTCAACCTTCCGGTGTTCTAGTTCGGAAAAATTGCAGTTACAAAGAGCTTGATGCATTGAGGGACAAACTCAGGATATTGTCAGAATCATCTACGCTTGAATTGAAATATAGCCTGAAGGATGGTTATCCACCAATGTGTGTAGATGATGACAGCAGCCTTGCTTTCTATATCGATTTGAAGTCGGATGAACCAGATTACACGAAATTTCCGGTTTGCGTGGTCGTGAAGTCTCAGATGAATGGGCGTAACTCGTCCATGGACTCTCCTAGTGTCTGTGATGTGAGTTACAAAACAAATGTAGCTCCTTTGAGGCATACGGAACTGGAGAACTATAGATATACGAGAGATGTCCCATTGAATTTCATGGATTTCGCTCATTCAGTGGCTCAGGAGATGGTTGAAACGATAACACATACCGAACATACCCAGAACATATACTCGGACAGCGAAGTGATTGTCTCAGATGAGGCAAATGTGGAATCGAATATCGTCGTTGGTATGTTATTCAAAGATAAACCTATGCTGCAGAGAATATTGACGATGCACGCTATAAGGAATCAATATCAATTTAAAGTCGTGAAATCGTGCACAAAACAATATTACGTGAAGTGTTTGTCTGATGAATGCAAATGGTTTGTAAAGGCGTTCCGCGTTTGTCAATCAAGCACGTTTAAGGTAAGAGAGGTTGGGACTGATCATCATTGTGCATTGGATGTGCGCATGGGTGGACAGCGGCAGGCAACTTCTAACGTTGTTAGTAGTTTTATCAAGACGAAGTTCACTAATAACAAGACGACATATAATCCCGGGGACATCGTGGATGATATGCAGAATCGTTTTGGGATAAACTTGTCATATCACAAAGCGTGGCGTTCGAAACGAAAGGCTGTGGATGAGGTACGTGGAAAGCCAAATGAGTCATATGAATACGTACGACAGTACCTCGAGAGGATACGTGTTTCGAACCCAGGAAGCACTGTGGGGTTGTGCACGACGTCCGAAAAAAATTTTATGTACGTGTTCATGTCCCTGAATGCATCAAAGAAAGGGTGGAGCCATTGTCGACCTATTATTGTTGTCGATGGGACATTTCTAACGTCCGCGTATGGAGGCGTTTTGCTTACAGCATGTTGCCAAGATGCAAGTTTTCATATCCTACCGCTTGCGTTTTGTGTTGTTGACTCTGAAAACAATAATTCCTATACTTGGTTTTTTAATAAATTGAAATCAGTTGTTGGTGAGAGGGAAGGAATGTGCATTGTTTCGGACGGTCACGTCAGCATAAAACACGCTGTGTCTACAGTAAGTGTACATAATCTATTCTGTACTGTTTGATTGTATATATTCTGTTTATGTTTTGTATATCATCTGTATATGTTATGAACTTACAGTAAATCTGTATAATATGTATACGTTTTTGTGCCTACATATATCTGTATATGTTGTGTGTCTACACACATGTTCTATGCTTACTGGTTGTTGTTGTATATTAATTATGCAGGTCTTTCCTAACGCGGCGCACTGTCTATGTACATATCACATATCAAACAATTTGAAGACGCATTTCAAGACTGAAGCTCAGTTAGTAAAGGAAGCTTTTCATGCAGCGGCAAGAGCTTATACAGTGGAGGAGTTTGATGGATATATGTCAGAGATAAGAAAGTTAAATCCTAGTGTGATACCATTTTTAGAAGAACTTGGCGTACACAAGTGGGCAAGAGCTCATTGTCCGAGTAATAGGTATTTCACAATGACATCAAACGCTGCTGAAACAATTAATTCTGCGATAAGGTCAGTGCGGGGACTCCCGATCACAACATTGTTAGAGGCGCTTAGAGACATGCAACAACGGTGGAGTGTGGCGAATAGAGATGAAGCGAAGTCCACATTCACTGCACTTGCCAAGAAACCTCACAGTATGATGGAGAACAACTACAAGATAGCCAGCAGATTCTATGTAAGTGCATATCATTTCGTAATTGATTATATACAATATATATACAGGATATGTACTCTCGTTATGCATAGGCCGTATAAAAATATTTGTATCTGAATGAAATTTAATATATATATATATATATATATACAGGTACAGAAAGCAAGTGACGCTGTGTACAAGGTGTTGGCCGATGGTAAAGCATTTATAGTGGATATTGACTCAAAGACCTGCTCATGTCATCGATTTCAGATGGATGAACTCCCATGTGCCCATGCTATTCGTGTGATAAAATCCTTGCATTTGGATCCCGTACAGTTTTGTTCTGTGCACTACTTAACATCGACTATGTTAAGTACATATGATGAAACAGTGATGCCAATAGCAGGTAACCAAACATTTATGTTCAACACAACTGCTACACCGCGATTGGTAAATCCACCCGATGGCAGTGCCAAGCCAGGTCGTCCGAGGAAGCAACGACTAAAGTCCGGATGGGAGCATAGGTCAAAAAATAGATGCAGTAAATGTAATGAGAAAGGGCACAATGTTAAAACATGTCGGAATCCAATAAAGGATAAATTATGATACAGACGTTATAAGGTCTCTCTCTCTCTCTCTCTCTATATATATATATATATATTATTTTTCTTCTCAAGTACCTCTATATATATATATTTATTTTTTTTTTCTGAAGAACCTCGAACTGTTGGAATGTGATCCGTATTATATGTTGGTAAACATATAACATGCACATATAATATGCACATATTTTTTTTTTTTCTGAAGAACCTCGAACTGTTGGAATGTGATCCGTATTATATGCACATATTCAAGATTCCATATTATATACAGATCATATACAGTTATGTATATATGATATACATAGTTATATAAATAGTCGCTAGAGAATATTTGAAAATTCCAATATGTGTTCCTTAATATATACAAATCATACACAAACATATTCAGTATCCCAGTTAAATGTTATATTTATATTACATTTCTGTGTATGATCAATGAAAGTGTTTTTTGCAGTTTATATGTTTTTAAAGTTCAATTTGTATTGTACGGGTATGTCAGACATGTATATATAACAGAATTTTATACATATCATATACAACTTATGTTCGGTTTAGTAGAAACAAAAAAATTGAAGCCACAAACAAACATAAAAAACATCCAAAGTTATAATGTTGTTACTACTAACGCAAACCAAAAGTTAAGTAGTGTCAACAATTCACCAAACATAACAAAATCATAGAAAAACCCAAATCATTTAATTAACTACTAACGCAAACCAAAAGTTAAGTAGTGTCAACTATCCACCAAACATAACAAAATCATACAAAAAACCAAATCATTTAATTAAACTGAAACGGGAAGTATTAGGGAGTGTGCCAGGAGATTCATCGTCGCTATCAAGATCGTTTTCCATCTTCATTAGTCCATGCTTATAGAGCAAGAATCCATATCTATGCCTCTCTAAACTGGGATAGTACTTCTTCCGTGTAATGTCGACATCGACAATGAAGTGCTCGGCGAATGATGCAACAAACACACCACAATCGCTGTAAAAAAAATAAACATTAAATAAAAAAAAACACCCAAAATTATACTATGTTATGTTATATGAATATTCAACTATGTTATGCTTAGTTGGAAACTCATTTAGGTTCTGATGATATGAATATACAAATATATATATATGCATGTCCCATAACATATCTTATATACACGGAATATACACAATAGTACGATGAGAAAAAATACCTTTTATGTTGCTGCGGGAGATTTGGAGCAATAGATATCTGTAGAGGAGAGGTGAAGTGAGTATTTATGCTTCCGTCCGCATTGGTCCTAATAGTAGGCCTCTTATCGTAAAAATGCACCAATCGAAGGAAGATAGGAATAAGCTCAGCATAAGCCTGCACACTCTCGAGAATAGTCTGGTCAATGTCATCGACATGAAGTGAGTTATAAACATAAAATTTCATGTCTTCGAAAGAGAGCCTCCCCAATATCCAATGGCCAAATCCATTAAGCTGAACATGCATTGGGAACAGAATGTGGTCGACGTCAAACCACGACAAACCGCATATAATCTTATACCCAAATATGTAGTCTGTAATCATGGACTCGACAGTGCATACATCATGATTGCGCGATTTTTCTAAGAAGGAGGTATAAAGTGACTTTATGTGCTGATCAAACAGCACATCTGTTGTTGTGTACTTCACTTTAGCAAAAGTACTGTATAAGCCAATCTTGCGCATATAGTAGAATAAGACATCCATGTGCTGCAATTTTTTCAAATTTAATGTCCGTGTTAATAATAATTGTATTTAACGTGATCAATTTAAAAAAATTAGAACCATGAATCCAAAAAGAAGCAAATACTTACGGTACAATCAAGGAAAAATCCCGGCTCGTGGATACTGTAAAACCAATTCTTATCCGTCACCTTGTAAACATTGAAATCAAAAGGGGGATTCAAGGTTCTGTGTTTAACTGAGTAGTAAGAATACCTGTACAAAAAGAGCATTAATAACTTAAAAAAATATTTAGCATTTAATACACAAAAGGTGGGGATATTTAGTTACATACGCACAAATTATATATGCATATGTTAAATCTGTAATATGTTTGTTTGTTAGGTATGTATATATATGTATACAGTTATGTATATATATACATATTTACACAAAACATAATTATAAGGTGTATATATTCTGTATATTGTTGTGATACTAAATATTTATACTTTATGAAAAAATAAAATTATGATATTATAAAATATTGTTACACTTACACATCACCAACTTTCCGTCGCCGCCGAAGAAACCCTTCATCAATCCAATCATTGAATCCTGATGCTTCAACATGTGCTTCAGACATATTCCAAAATTTACCATCAAATGGGCATGACCTCTGAAGAGTTTTTTTCAAACTTGTACTAGAATCTCTCTTCTGTTCCATATCTAACATGGCAGGTTTGTCTGGATTGGACCCCGTCTCTCGAAACACAATGACTGCAGTGCTGGCCGGGTCAGTTGTTTTTATACGCTTCCCACTTTCTGCATCTTTTTTGTCCGCAAGTGGGTCCGATTGATTCTTAACCTGAACAAACAAGTGAAAATATTTATATATATATATGCACAATATATATATACAATATATATACATAATATATATATATATATATATATATATATATTTAGTGTGGGAATTATATATTGTGTATAAAACATGAATATGGGTAGTATGGGCACCGGATTAACGAATTGAATATCTTGAGAATAGGGGTAATCGGCCGTGATTGCGTCAAAAGATGGTTGAGACCCATCCAATGAATAACCAAATTGGGGATGTGGGACTCTCTGTACATTTCCGGTTATTGGTGCGATTGTCTGCATAGAGAAAATGAAAGATGATAAAATCATGTAAACCGAATTGATGCTAACAATATATACATATACATGCTATATACGAAGATATGTTTAACAGATTAATTTCGTGACATTGTGTGATACCGGATCTGGTTGTTTTGGTGCGCTGTTTATTAACGCCTGTGCAGACTTATCAACCTCGGCATAAAACTGAGTGTTAAATAATGAAAAATCATCAAATTCATCAAATTCATCAGCGGGGCTGGTAACCACATTTTGGGCAGGTGCACAGATGTGCTAAATAAGACAAAACACAACATAATTTGTTGTATATTTTGAAAGTCATATAGTTGTGGGAACAAAGAAAATAGATGTAAAATACTTTATCTGCTGCACGTTTCTGTAGAGCTTCGGATTTTGTTCTAGTTGCCTGTACCACTTTCTCATGCACAGCCTATAAACACAAATTAAAATTATAAGCAAACCTAAACTACGAAATTTATATATTCTTAAATGAACTTATGTACCTTATTAGGTGCGCTCTTCTTAGGTGTTTCTGCTTTCGTTATAGCCACATTAGCATCAACCTTTATGCCGATGTAGAAAAAAATAAAATAAAAATTATCATTTATATCAAGTTGTGGGTGAAAGGGAGATAAGACAACAAATAGCGTAATTTGATATATATTTCTTAAGCCGTAAAGATGTGTGAACAATGAAAATAAGACAAGACAATCACAGGCCCGCATATTTGGTAAATAAGACAACAAATAGCGTAATTTGATATATATTTCTTAAGCCGTAAAGATGTGTGAACAATGAAAATATATGCAAAATACTTTATCTGCTGCTCGTTTCTGTAGAGCTTCTGACTTCGTTCTAAAAGCCTTAACCACTGTCTCATTCACGGCCTATAAAAACAAGGTGAAAATATAAGCAACCTTAAAAGAAAGAATATAATAAACATGAACAATGAAAATAATAAATAAAATTTAAAATTACTGTATACTTTATCTGTTGCACACTTATCAGGCGTTTGTATGGTTTTTTCGATAGAAGCATCAACTTGTATGCCGGTCTACAAATTAAAGAAAAAGGCATAGTTACATCAATGCTTCAATAACATTGTTCATTGTATATACGCGTTATATAACAAATATGTGGGTGGACTGTAACACTAAAATTTTGGATCAAATCGTACCTCATTTGGTTCCACAATAGCCTCAGCATCTTTTCCATCATTTTTTGCTGCATTCTGACCAAAATATATAGACAAGCGTGTGTATTGCATGTTTATATGTGTTATAAAAATATACGACGAATATACATAAACCATATATGCTACCAATAAAAGTATATTCTCTATACACATATACATAATATATATATAACATATTCGTGGAAATCTGTTATATATGTATATATATATATTTTATATATGTTACATATATATTTTGTATATGTGAAAATGTGTTATATATATATATTTTTTATATATGTTATATATATATTTTGTATATGTGAAAATGTGTTATATGTATATATTTTATACATGCTATATATATATATTTTGTATATGTGAAAATGGGTTATATAACACTAGAATTTGGGTTCAAATCGTACCTCATTTGGTTCCACACTAGCATCAGCATCTTTTCCATCATTTTTTGCGGCATTCTGACAAAAAAAAATATACACAAGCGTGTGTATTGCATGTATATGTGTTATGAAACATATGAAGAATATATATAACATATACAATACGTATATGTTAAAATATGTATAATTGTAGAATTATATTACACTTACAATGAAGGTGTTCTTCAAAGACTCAAGCTCATCGATAACCCGCTTTGAAAAGTCAAAAAATATTTGCTTCAAGTTGTCGAGATCAGATGAAATTGTGTTCAAACGATCAATGACTTCTGATTCATTGTTATGCTGTGAAGTAGGGGAGTGTGTCTCTTTCCTGATGAATTCATTCTTTTTCTTGAAAAAAGAGTCCAAACACAATGATTGCTGCTCTTCCACGGTGGGTATCACGTTCTTAAACTGTGAAGAAAAAAAATGAAAGTATTATATAATATTATATTATATATAACATGTATATATATACATATATAATATATGTATATATATTTATATTATAAACATATATATATATATTAATTTCATGTATTCTTATCAGATTTCATATACCTTGCTCTCATCCAAATTCGAGAATGCTCTCTGTATTTTCAGACGGTTGTAGGTACCCCGGACTTCCCATTTCATCATTCTAGGGATATCATGATCTTGAAGTGATCTGCAAGCTACACCTTCAGCGGTTTTGCAGATCTCGTAGAACCATATCTGAAGAGCAAGAATCAAACCATAGCATCTGTAAAGGTACTCATCACCATCGGTTTTCACAGTCTTGTGCATTTGTTCTCTGTTTCGCATGGCTTTCTTAAGATAATGGAAGGTAAACTCAAAGACATCAATCCCCCAAGGATATTCCTCGAAATCGTGGCTGTCGATGATGTCAAGGTAGCACCTGTCCAACCGATGTGCGTCCTGTGAACCCATGAGGAAGTTCGCTAGTAGATGTAACTTAGCAAACTTAACAGCATCCTCATCTGAATTCCAAGATTTCTTTGCAAATTGAACTTTGATGCAACTACGGTTCAGTACAACACCGGAGAAGTAGTTGTCATATAGGCCTTGGGACACGGTTGGGATGTTCAGTTTCTTACAAGTACCGACGCATTTAAGACCTGTTATTACAGCAAACTCCTCTATCCCAAAACGTAACAGTTTCCCTCCAAAATCAAACCAAATTTCGTCGGTTCTGGGCTGATAGACCTCTCGTAAGAGAATATGATTAAGCAGCTGGATTTGTACCTTGCAATACGGAAGATCAAGAAACTTCCCAAAGGCCGAACCCCTGAAAATTTCAAGCTCATGTGGGGTAAGCAATCTTTTGATTTCATTGATGATCGACCCATCCTTGCTGTTATCATTGCTGCTCTGAATCTTGATAGTAAAATTCCTCGGACGTGGTATGATCAATTCCCATTTCTGAAAAAAAAAATAAATATATGTGTTGGTAACTTTATATCAGTTAAAATTAATATTAATACCAAAATAGTATTATATACATTAAATATACATAGTCTACACAATTGCAGAAATATATACATATTAAGAGAAGAATATACACCTAGCATACATATTATTGACATATACAAAAATATATAAACATGTCATATACTAAAGCATATGAATGCATGTAAACAGGTTTTGTATGGCCACATATTCTTGACATATACAGAATATATCCAATATAGCTCCACTCGTATGCATAATATATACCCAACAAACTTAAAAATTGCAGAAATATATACATATCATATACTGAAGCATACGAATGCATTTAAAAATATTTGGTATGGCCAAATATGCTTAACATATACGTAATATATACACTATAGCCGGGATATCATGTGCAAAATATATACCTAGCAAAATATATATTTAAATAAGCACCACATCAACACAGCATATACACCACATAGCAGGAATATATAAAAGACACTATAAAGCATCCATCATGTATAAACACCACATAGCAGAAATAAACACCACGGCAAAAAGACACTATAGCAATAAAGACACTATAGCAGAAATATACCACATAAAGCATACATATTAAACAAACACCACATCCATCAAGAATATACATGTATTGTCAACATCAGCAACCACCACATCCAGAAGTACAAGAATGCATGAAAATGTAGCCATTCATATATTCAATCACTCAAAACAAATTTTGAAAAAATATAATATTTTCTCATAATACTAATTAAACTGACGGGTAAAACAAAAAAATTATACATTTACCTTGGCACTTATATGAGCATTCTCGTTCGAATATCTCAAATCGACACTTGGCTTGGACCTCTTCTTTGACGGGTCATATCTCGATTGACCTTTCAATTTTCGTTTCTTGCCTTTTTCTTCAATTTGTTGCTCGTCATTGTCTTCTTCGCTCGAGAATGCTTCATTTTCACCATCTTCTTTCTGGAATTCATCTTCGAAATCGGAGTCAGAATTCATCTTCGAGAGAGAGGGTTAATGGGTTTCGTGGATTTTTCGAAAGTGAGTTTTTTTTGTACGATGGTGGGTTTTTTTTTGGCTTGTAATTTTTGTAGGCGGGAGCTCGATCTTCGGTGAGGGGGTATCTCAGAGTCGGAGTTCGGACTTCTACCGAACTTAGTTCTTGCCATGGCTGAACTGGGGTGTAAGGGACGTAGTGGGAGATAGGTGAGGGAGATAGGGTTTCGGTTACAGAGATGTGGGGAGAGATGGGGAGACTTGTGTTGACATGGTTGAAAAATTTCGGTTACCGAGAAATATGTGTGAGATAATATCTTACCAAATTGGGTGAAGTTATTTTAGAAGGAGATAAGTTTTCCTTTAATTACATTAGATCTCACCGGATTAATTCCTTCGTAATTTTGCAATTAAAACGTTATGATTATGTTAATATGATAATATTTACTTCGTCATTGTAGTTATGCAATTAAAAAGAAATTTGTTAGTACACAATGCAATTTTCTCCTTCCAATTGTAGTTCCAAAATGCATATTTGGGCCTTGGATTTAGGCATAGTCATCATGGGCCCACTAAACACTACGAGCCTTGATTAATCAATCTTGAAGTGCCTAATACTCCAGCTTTCAATTTACCGTCGTCCATATTATTATTTTAATATCTTGAAAATAAATAATAAATATATCATAGTATTTGAATCCATCTAATAAATAAGTAAGTCGAAAAATATATAAGTGCGATAAAATTAAGATATAAAAATACATCAATAAATATATAAATTACACATTTTTTTCGACCAATCAAATCTCCCAAAACTTAAACCGTTGTTTGTCCTTAAACAACTTAGAACTAAAAGCACATAGATGGACAAGAAAACAAGTACGTGGAACGTTACTCGGGACTCACAATTCCACATAAGTGCATAGTTCAAACAAGTCAAATCAATTAATCCGGACTCAAGATGAAATCATTCTAAGAACTCAAACAATCAAGTATCAATTCAAGTGACCACCATAGTTTATCATTCTTTATAACGAATGCCTCGATCAATGCAACTCATGACACCCCTCTCTTTGCTAACAAGTCTAATTTCTTTCCGTTTCTAGCCGAAGTCTAAACGTCTCATTCTCCATTTTTTCTTTCTCTCTCTCTCTCTTTTTTTTTTTTTTTT